GCAAAGCGCCTTCCAAAAAATAATTGCGCCGAGATTTCGTATCTCGTTAGATACAGGCCGGATAATTGTACGACTTAATTTTCGGAACGATGCAACGTGAGGCGCGCATTGTATGCAACAATCCACCGGGGATCGTGGAATGACGTAACGTGTACACGGGGAAACGATCCCGAGACGTGGGCGCACGTTCGTGTTTTAGTTCGAGCTCGCGCGTTCGAATTTAATGAGTGCTCCATTTCATTTCGACTCGCTCCTCGTGTTCCGTGTGTCACGACGAGAATTCCGCGGGGCGCGTTTGCTCTCGCGGCAGGAAAATTTATTTCCGACGGTGCAGCAGGCAGCAGTGGCGGGAGCAGGCAGCGGAATACCGGGCACACGCGCGCGTGTCTACTTATTTATAATTGACTTGTGCCTGTTACATAACTATACGTTCGCATTCCGCGCACGGATAACAAAACAGTCGGTTAGCGTCTCGGCGGGATTATTGACTGCCGACAGGGATGCATAAATCCGGTAGGAACGAACGCGAGATACTTGGTCGTGCGAATCAGACATTAACTAACCACGCCTTGTCCGAAAGGATCGCAGATTCTTTCATATATTTCATCCTTCTTGTGCACGTGAGAGTTTCGCTATCGACAGCTGCTCTCAGGACTGAATCAAATCCACCAACGTCAACTTGTCAGACTTAAAATAAATCATTCAACTTTATCTGCGTGTATCATAACTAACGTTACGAAAGAAAGAGGGTCGCTTAATTTACTCGACTAACTTTGATAAAATCAACTCTTACGACTGTTCCTTTAAGCGTTAGTAAGAATCAGTTAATCTCCCGTTCCTTTTTATGAATAAAACAAAGAGAGGAAATCAATTAAATGTTCGTCAGCTTTATTTTATCATAATATTATTCGTGGGAGTAAATTCGCGTCCGTAGAGAGTAAAATGTTCGGTCTTATTTAACCTTCCGGATAAATGCAGTAGGTACCTTTTAGAAGAGTGAAAAGGTAAAATGGTTTCCGCGGTGCTGTCAACGCTGTTATACCGTGCAATCAACAATCTAACGTATGATTAATCTAATGTACGATTTCCGTATTTGCTCTCGCGCGCGCTGACGCAATCCGGCAAAAAGAGACCGGCGCGGCGTAAGATAAACAAATGAGGGAGAATGAGTCGCTGGAATTGATATACCTATAGCCGGAGGTACGAAGTGGCGTCTTAAAGATTTACATATAATCAGCGCCGGGGACTCGTGGAGAGTATACGCGACTCAAAGGTCGCCTTGTTACGAGGTGATTCCTCGAGTGGCGAGTGGTCTTTGCCATTTCCCATGAGCATAGCCATAAAGGCGGCGGAGGTCGACCGACCGACCAACCCGACCAGCCAACCAACACGATGGATCACAGCGATAAGGATATATGCAGCATGTACTGCAGCTTGTACAGTACACCGGAAGTGATCCCACCGCACTCGCGCGCGCGTTTCGTAGAACGGTCCGAGAAGTAACCAGTCTCGTCGTTCTCGTCGGCAGCCACCGTCTCTTGTCTCCGCGTTTCTGCATCCGTCTATTGCCCGCGGTGATATTTGTCGATATATTTTCGCGTGGGCGCAGATCGACCGACCCGAATGCCAGTCAGCTCTCTACCTTTTACTTCGGTACGCCAAACGAATGCTGTCTACGTGGGCAGCGCGGAGTAGTATTATAATAAAGTCCCGCGGAATGATAGAAAGGTGCAGGATGCTAATAATAGCCTTTCGCAGGGTCGCCGCAGGTCGGCAGGTGTGTGCCTTCGCGGTATCTACTGTTCCACGGATCGGTGTCGTCGACTTCGCGTTTGTTATTGCGAGTTTCGTGACGTAGTCATAACTCGCAGAACTCGAACGAGTTGAGAGAGAAACGTTTCAGCTCGCGCGGGCGCGCGCAATAAATGAAAAAATAAAATAAAATAAAATAAATGCCAAGACGACTCCCTTCTCCCCGATCCAGTTACCTGATTTTATTTAGAGTACTTTGTGTTCGGATAATAAGAGCGGCTTTGTACAACAAAATGACATTGCAATATCGAGATCTGCGATCGAGAGAAAGCCGCAAAACGATAGAGCGACGCAGAAATCGAAACAGCGCGTCGATGCGAGATCGATTCTTTTAAATTCTACCCATAGGCACAGACGAGTCATAAAGCGTAGCCTATAACAAAAATAAGAATAAACCGTTAATGGCCATTTGCACAACCGCTAGTTGGGTGGTAAATGTCCATCGGTCGTAAATTGTCCGGCCCGATCGGTGAGGCGGTCTTATATCGCGCGCCGCAGCGTTGGAACAAAACGACAAATGGAGCGGTTTGACGCATGCAGAACGCTTTCCGGAAAATTTATGACGCGCGTCTAATTGTCGGCGTTCTCGGCGTACACCTCGACAGTTTAATTTCAAGAGTAAAACAAGGTTGAGATTTAAGCCGCGTTATCCGACGTCATCTAATCGCCCCACAAAAAAAAGATCACTCAAGGATAAGAAACGTATGTTTCAAAAAAGAAACGTGACAAACGAGGCAAAAAGTCTCGCGATGTCATACGAGGATCCGTCCTCGAGAGTTTTGTCGCGACAAATTCGCACGTATATCTCGTCGGCCGACCTCTCGAATTCGGAGCGCGCGCCGATAATGAGCGCGAGATAACGCGCGCGGAGAACACGTTCGGGACACGTTCGGGACGGGATTCTCACGACGTGGTGCACGAGTCGGCAAGCATCCACGCCCCAGAAACCGACGTATCGAGTTCCATGATCCCGCTGGCCTCGCCACGACGTCCGTCTTTCCAAGTCTGTCGTCGACAAAGCTCCTTGAAAATTGTGCAACGCAACCGTGGTACATGGCTCGTTTCGCGATCTCCCGGTACGATGATGTAGATCATGTTTTTTTTTTCAGCGCGCTCGCGAGATAAGATCTCGCTTGCGCGAATGAAACCGAAACTGGCCGCTCCCACGCGAGCATTAGGTGCCGCTTGTTGTTGAAGCCTGAGACGCGATAATTCAATTGACCACCGTAATCGCGCGAGGAGAGATGTAAATAAACGACAATAATGTATATGAGATCGAGAAACAGTCGAGATAAAAATTCTCTCGATTACCGTAACGTACTTTGCTGAGCGTTTAAAGTTTAAACGAGATTGCAACGTGTACCAGAAACGTTGTTCTTGAATGAACAACGATACTTCATTCCATTAACTAAAGAACTAAACTATAGACGCGGATGAACGCGGAGCGTGAGAATAATTTCGCTAAGTAGCCGGAGTATAGAGTATAGTCGAAGTTTAAATGGGTACCTTCATATTCAATGAGCATCGAGCGTGAGAATGATGTTTAAGACGAAAGTGGAAGCATTGCCGAGGCCTTTTGCGTATGACCCGGCTTTATGAAACACGTATCAAGCGGAGATATACGTCAGCGTAGAGGCGGACAACGAGACAACTTGTCCTGTCAGCGAGATGCCCCGAAAGAATATAAGAGCGAAGGAGAGCTAGGAAGGCGGACTTATTCGGCCTATTTACGGCAATTGTTTAACGGGAGCTCGTGAAGCGGGCGTTTTCTACACGTTAGTTACACGCATAATTGGAGATCCCGCTCTTTCCCGTCTTGTCCTGTCTCGCGAACAACAAAGGCAACCGTTGACAGACGTGCAGGGAAATTGCAGAGTTGCGCCTTAGAGAGGGCGGTCTCGCGATCGCACGAACTTTAAATAGAGCTCCTCTCCGCCGCGCCGCGCGCCAGCTCGCGAAACCTTTAATTATGCACGATCGGTAGAGCAAGTGGCTTCGCGAGTGCATTGTTGAGTGCTGGCATACTAGCCGCGATTACATTGATTAAAATATTTCAGCGATCTAGAAGAACTGTATGCCTCAACGTCGACGTCTCTCGGCAGTCGACTTTCTCGTACTTCAAACGGAGCTTCTCTATCGGTGGAAACCTTTAATTATAAGCGATCAGACAGCGATTTCACAAATAGACATTTTCTGTGTGCGCGGCGTATCGTTTATGTGGATTGGAATAAAATATTTTATCCCGGATAATATTACGATACGTAGGCGAGCGTGTTTCACGTCGACGTTGGCATTGACTTTCTCTGTATCGACTTCGAAAGGACATCAGAGATTCGTCGCACGGGCGAAGCGCGGGCCTCGCAGGGAATTTCGAGATCCTGCCCCCCATCCCTGACTCCCGAGTTTAGAATAATCCATATTCTTTTTGTGGGCGTGAACCAGATGTAGGAGAGCACGCAGTCGCGGTGTCGCCAGGTTACCGTAAAACGTGACTGGAAGAATAAGGATTTCGATTCTCCCGTAATACCCGAGCCGTTGCCTCCCGGGCTTAATAAATTCCCCGTCTTTTTCATGTTCGCCGATCGCGTTTGTTCTTCGACTTCATTCGTGGAAGGAATTCGATTAATTCGTAATTAGAATGACTGTATCTCCGTTCCATGAAACCCACGATCACGAATGCGGCATAAAGTTCAACACGTGACTCTTTCTCATCGCCATGTGTTTCTTAATGAAATACTTAGCGGTCGTTACACGTATGGAAATGCGAGCAGCCTCGATTCTAGCAAGGCTTCAACATGAATGTAATTTAATTTGAATATGTCACCAGATTTGTAGACCAGAGCAGCTATTGCGTTTCACCGGCGGTAATCTTGAAAATTACGTAATCGCGTCAAAAGGCAAACAGAAATTTACTGCTACGGCGATAGGAATAAATAGGAAATATAAAATTACGGCGTCATCTTATTGCTTATTTTATCCCCGAGGGCGCTAATGTGACGAACGGTCGTAAAATCCGGAGCACTATAACGGCGCAAAATTGGTATTTGAGGCATAAAGCAAGTTACGTAAAGTAACTCGGCCGGTGTTGATAACTCGCCGTTCAATTAATTCCTAGAAAAATAACGCGGTCTCCGGATGCCCGGGCGAGGATGCTAGCGTGTTAACCTCGAGCCTCTCTCGTTTTGCAGGTGATATAGAGGACTGTCTAGTGGCTCCAGTTTCCCAAGGTCAGTTCACGCCGCTGCCAGAAGCCTTGTGCTGGGCCATTCTGGAGCTGACTTCTCAGAGGCAGGCGGCGACCTTGGACACCCTCAGATCAGCCCTGAGGAATGCCTTCCCGGCCATGCAGAGGCCCAGCCGAGAGCTCGTTTACGACGCGCTCGCCAAGCTCATGCAAGAACGAAAGATCTATCACACGTCTCAGGGCTACTTCGTCGTAACGCCTGAGACCAAGAGGCTTAGACGCGACTCCGGTAGCTCCAGGCGGTGTTCCAGGGACGTGAACGGGTCCAGAGGTCAGGGTAGCATGCTGATGAGCAACGACGAGGCGGTGGCACTCGTACACGGCGAGATGCTCACTCTGCGAGACGGCGATGTTACGCATCAGGCCGTACAGACGAACCTGGCGGACGTTATTTGCGGAGGTAAGACGAGTCTTGCTAATTATTCTCTGAGCCTGACATCACTTCGAGCCGTTCTTTCAATAGACAAAGTCCATAATTGTTAGCGGTTCGTGTATACACGCGATGACTTTGAAGAAAGTTATTCGTCAAAAATTTACTTTACCACTTTTTTTTAGACATGTCAGTTAAAATGTGAAAACATGAAGTAATGTAAACGCTGTTAAAAGAGACAGGCTATTAATCACAAGGAGCATAGATATATGTTATACGCTTCCACGAGGAAGTTGTCGTGCAAGAAGCTAATGCCGTGAAAATATCGGCTATATACATCGCGCGCGAAAGATATGGTGTCGAGTGACGGCGCGATTAACGTGCTTTCGTCTTCATTCAGTAGTAACCGCGGAGTTCTCCGCGTCTTATTAGAGTGTCGCGTATCCCGTTGTCTCCTGCGGTGCGCGAGACTTATCCACGAGGGAAAGTTTTCCCGTAACCATGTTTCCCGTTGAATCGCCGCGCCGTCTCGCGATATCAATCGCGATAGTTAATTTATAACGCGTTGCCGATCAATTTAACGCGTTAGCACCGTTTCCACGACGCGGGATAAACGTACGTGGGACCGAAATTATGTTTCAGGAAAGTACTAAATATAGTACGACAGAGTGGAGAAATTCTAGTTATTAAATAACACCTATAGTCGCTGAGAAATTAATCGTGCAGAGAAATTAATGTACGCTGCAGGCGTAAACATAAAGCGTACGGAGGTGGATTACTTATAATGCCTCGCGTAATTTTTGCGAAACGTCGAGGCACAATGACAAAAGGATGACACGCACAAAAGATGAACAGATAAACGCGCGAGGCTGAGATCGATTTCGCCGTGTCTCATCACGAGAGGATGCGCAGGAAGCCGGAGCCCTCGTAAAACTCGCGAGAACGAACTCGCTCGCCCGGCAGACCGGTCGTCGGGCCCAGGCAAACTCGTTCGGCACGTGTTCGGGAAACGTTCCGATTGTGTCCAGGAGGAGAGCAGTTCGCTAAGCTGCTCACTCTCCGAGGCCTTTTTCTGCCGGCGACTCGACGGACGGGTCGGGAGAGCGTTTATGTTGTTGTCGTCCTTGGTAGCCACGCAAGCCTCGCCGCCGGAAGATCGTCAATTCCTCTCGCGACCGCGTACGAAAAATCAGCGATCTTAATTTCACTTTTTGCCACGTTCGCGGAAATCTCGGGGAGGGACAACGCTCGTTTCTCCTTCTCCGCCATATGTCCACTTGTATTTTTATTCCTGATTCTTCGTCGTTAGCGTCTCTGAGCCAAGGAATCAGCCGTGCTGATCCCCGATTACACATGAAAAATCCTGACACAATTGTCGTTTCGTTTGTCGCCACGACATAAGTTCTCTTCTATCTACGGTTTTTTATCGTCTTTAACAAAAAAGTTCTCGCGTTTCGTGATACATCGGTCGAGACCTTTTATACTTTATATACCACGACGAAGGCGGAAGTTGCTTGCGGTGTGTCTTTTTTCGTTCTTTTTTTTTCAACGTGCGTCGAGTACGTCACGCGGGGAATAGAGTCGCCAGTATCAACATTGAGCACGTACGAGAACGAGGAGAAATAGGGAAAGAGAGATAAGGAAAGAACGGCTTAGGGAAGACGATGCCTGGAAAGCGTTTAGCACAACCGATATATTAGCTATTGGTCACGACATTGTCTACCGTTACATACGCTGTCGACATCATTGTGGAAAGGGGGGGGGGGGGGAGACAGGACCACACGTATATAATCTTCCTACTTTTCTCTTACTCGTTTCTCGACTGATTCTCACGCTGGTAACCCACTCGTCGTCGGGCAGTAACGTCGGCGTATCGCCCATGGCTATGTACCAAGATGAAACTCTCTGGAATGAGGGTATTCCACTTTTTTCTTTTTCTTCATTTTTTAAGTTACAACGCGCGCCTCACTCACGATATTAGCCCTTTTAACCGGAGCGACGCGTCGTCTTGGCGTTCGAATATATTTGTACGTGCGTCTACGCACGCCACGTAGAATTTACTCTTCCTAGTCGATCTGCCCGATGTGGTACACCTTAATTTTCTCGACACGCATACATGAACACATTTTCCACGATTATTCGTGTCTGACAGCATGACTGTTAAATCTCTAAGATAATCATCAACTTGTCAGCATATATTTTTTGAACATTTCATTCGTTTTACGTATGATATATATAATTATTTTCTATAATAGTATGTAATGTAATAAAGTGTTAAAAACAACTTTGTCTGTTTCTCTTCCAGGAAATCCCAACGACAAAGTCCTGTTCGCCAGGTGTCGGTCGATGCCCGGCCGTCTCGAGAGGCGACACTCTCTGCGGCTTTGGGGCTCGGCCAGACGTTTACACAGAAGCGGAAGTTCACGGTCCCTACCGCGAAGACCTGAAAGGAGCGACACGTCTTCCAGCGCGGAATACGCGAGCACGGACAGCGCGCCTCACAGTCCAACCAGTGAGTCTAATCGGGAAAGGGATTGCGTGGTGATGGGTGACTGCTTTAATGGGTGATGGATGAATCGGTTTTATTAATAAAAATGCTCTCGATTGTATATAACTGTCCTTTCAGAATTTCGGAGCTTCTAAACGAAAATTATTGCGTGATTATATTTATATTCGCAGGATGGGATGTTCGAATGATTATTACTTTTGCATTCTGTCTTGTGGACGGCTTTTTTTTATAGTAAATTGCTTTGCGCGACTAACAAATGTCCCAATTATACTAGGACAATTATAAACAATTATAAGCTTTGCGAAATATCCCAGATATATAGATAATATTACAATCCAGATCGCAGCTTCTTAGTCACCCCGTAGCTGGCAAGCCCTTTCTCGATCCTCATTGTCATCTAACAAAGCGCAACAAAATCTAAATCCCTTCCTCAAGGCTTTTCTGGGATTTTTTCAGAGAAGATAGGCCTGCTCTCCAGGCTCTTTCGGCGGAGCACAAGGAGGAAGGGCGCACCGTTAATGGGCACTTTCAGTGCTCAGTATCCCCCCACCGAGTGGTTTAATCCGCGCGTCGTGCATTTGCATAGCGTTGCCACGCAGACAAGGGCCGCCAGCCCTTCGGTAAGTTGCATACGAGTACTTTCCAAGAAGAACTAGCAAAACAAAACTTTTTACACAATACTTCTAGCGCCGCAAGGCTAATTAACCGGTTTCCCCAGCAATTAATGAGAATTCTTGAAGCGACAACGTATCGAGCTATCAGACCCTGAAACTTGAAAATTTAATAATAATAATAAACGGAGATAGTACAAACGATTCAAATAATTTAGTTAGAATTGAATTAAAGGAAAATAAGAATTTCTTGGTTGCAACGAGTTTTGGATCAGATTGAAATCAGATCGATCGAATCTTCTTCTCAGATGATGGAGGGTTTAGACCAGTCGCAGGCCAGTTTCCAAGTGTGGGATGACTCGAGCTCGGTGCGATCGGCCACTTTACCAAGGCGACATCGGCGCCAAGCCAGCGGTGACTCCTCGAGTTTGTTGGCTAATTCGACGCCAAGAAGCTCCCGAAGGCATCGGTCACCGTGCTCCACTCTGCCGAGATCCAAATGCTCCAGTCTGAGCAGATGCACGTCTAGAGCGTCTGTTCTACCGCCCAGCACCACCAACCAGGAGGGCTATCAAGCGCGTAACCAGACGCAGAACGATAAAAACTCGACGAATTCGTCGCCCAGCAGAAGCGGCGGCAGCTCTGGTTCAGTTAGAACGATAAATGCCAGCCCGGCTAAGACGACTACGTTGGGAAGGCCCAACACTAGGCAGTCCAACTCCAGAAGACCAAGTCACGATTTTAGCAACAGCGGCACTAAATTGGCCAACGGTTCTCCGCAGCACAAGGTGGATTTATAACTCCGTTATAAATATGTAACGAAAGATTTGCATGAATATGTATTTTCCATTACAGAAGAAAAAAAACTTATAAATATTTCTGTCCGTTATTTAAAAATGTATTCAAAAGTTTAAAATTTTGATTTTTAGATAACAATTGAATGATTAAGATTTGTAATTTCGATATAATTTTTTAATTTTTTTTATTTTTGAATAAGAAAATTTTTATCTCAAGGTGCTGCAAAAAACTTCGTCGGGTCATTCGTCTCACTCTAGCGGCAAGTCGATTTCCAGTACGAAATTGACTTGCTCGCCATTGAAGACGGCCACGCTGTCGACGAAATCGTCACCGCTCAAAGTCGTTCAGCAAGGTTCGCTGACTCCTCTGCAAGAGGCGCAGAACTCGATAACCCTTCAGGTGTCCACCAATCTGAGCCCGTCGTCGCAGGAGCAACGGACGATACAGAATAGCGTGACGCTGGCTTCTAACACGAGTAGCACGACGACCATTTCCGGCTCGCCCGGCACGAAGATCTACGTTCACCAGAATAACTCACCGATGAGGTCCGTAATCACTTTCGAGAACGGCACGGTGAAGACGAAGATTGCCGAGAAGGAAGTCATCGACTGCAAGGAGAAGCAGGAAAGGGAGCTGGTGGCCGAGAAAGCCTTCAAGACCCGGGTGGACGACGAGAAGCTTTTTAAATCGAAGCTAGACGACGAGAAGCTGAACAAGCCGGTCAAGGTCGAGCGTCCGTCATCCCTCTACGCGTCGAAAGAGCCAAAAACGAGCCTTTTACTGTCGGAATCTGACAAAGAGAACAAGCCGAAAGTCGAGGACGAAGTGCCTAATAAATTAAAACTGACGAATCGCCTGAACAATAGTCAGGCCCACCTGATCGACGGCTCGAGCAACAACGTCGACAAGAACGCCCTGGTGCACGAGGCCGCCGCGTTGTCCACCACGAAGAACACCAACGACGCGATGAACAACTCGCGCAAGCTTAGCTTGTCGCTGTCGAAGGACGCGCTGAGTTACCGCAATCTACTTCATCCCGGCTCGAAGAATAATATCGCCTCGAATCCGCCGTCGCCCACCAAGTCGTACGACGGATTCGGCGGTTCCTTCAACGACGTCTACATCGAGAACCTCGAGACGGTGAAGCAGCAGCGAGCCCCTCAGGGCTCCGAGCCCAATCTGGATAAGACCGTGAGCCGAGGCTCGGATCTGCACTCTTATCCCAGTCTCAGCGACATGCAGGTGCAATTTACCAGCCTGGCGGCGCAGAAGATCCTCAAGGGCTGCCCGATTAACAGCGTCGACACCTTGGTGGAGGTGAACATGGCGGCCGCCGATAAGCCCAACAACTGCGACGTCACCGTTCATACGGATTTTGGCCTCGTTTGAATTTCATCCCCCCCCCCTGAACATCCGTCGATTATCGTACTACGAGGGTAGGGACAAGGGAGCTGTCGATCCTCGCGTCCCACCCGAGCATATTACGTCCATGAAAAACAACGTGCCTCGAGGCGAGCAGGATCGAAGAAACGTCACTAACGCCTTGCTTCTCATACATGAGGATAGAAAGCTATACTTTTTTTTTATTTTTGTTTGTTAGTGGAAAAAGGCCACGGCTTGCGTAAGAATATTACACACGGGACACGCGTAACAGTTACCAGTGATCTGTCGCTTACGTACATCTCTCCTCTCTGTGTCTTTCAACGAGCATCCGTGTTCCCGAACAATCGCTGTGCCAATCTTGTGCTTTATTATCTGAATTAATACGATAAAATTTTCAATCTCGCTTATTGAGCATGAAATCCGCTTCTTTCAAAGATGCTATCCCGAAATAATTTCTCCATGATCAAATTACTAAATTATATTTTATACATAATAGAAATTCAGATTGTCGTGTAAATCGTACGTGTAATCAAGTAACAGACGGGTACGAAATGTATTTTGTACTCAAAATTGCGTTGAAAAGATATGGAAAATGCAGATATCTTTCTTCAGTTCGTTGTTAAAACAATCACCGTCCCACGTTTTCAAAAATACAGGATCAGCTTTTGATAATCCGAGTATGCGTATACCCGAAAAAATATATTTAACTCTTTTCAAGACTTACAAATTCATGGGACACGCGTGCATCGTTGTAACGTCGGTGGTTTTGCGTCGCTTTACTCGAGCTAAAGCGATTTGTCAAAGCGACAATCTCACGTACAACGGTCACGCGCGACCCACGGAATAAACAAGGAGGAGGTGAAAAATCTTTCCGAATTAAAGCACTGCCATTTTTCTACCGCGTATTTATACTCTTCGGATATTTTTCATATTAATTTCTATGCCTACGCGATAAAAAGACTTTCAGGCGCTTTCGTAGCGAATTAAGACTAAATGGTACAGCGAAGTTTTGTAACGCGATGTAGGCAGAGGATTTTCTTGTAAAATTTCTTTCGGACGATAAAATGTGGATTAAGTGATAAAGCGGAGAATGCCTTTACCGCGCGTTATTAGGCGCGTCATTAAGCGCGAGCAGCTGACAAATTAATAGCAATACCGTCCCCCAGGAAGCCCGGATAATGTAGAAAAGATCGAGAACGATCTTGATGCGAGGGTCGCGATTCTCGCTGCGCCGCACACCGCGGAGATTTGATATCAAATATACATATATGTTATACATAGTGTAGAAGAAGGGCGTTTTCTCGGAGCGCGGCCGCGCGGTACCATTCGCAATTAGTGCAATCGTAAATCTGTAAGTGCCAAAACTTATATCGTAGTACTTAATGACCGACCGCCTTAATGATTCCGTTCGCGCGACGACTTCGCCGGCGCATTTTTATTCGGCGACGACGGTGACGATTTCGGTCAGATTTCGGTCTCGAGCAAACGCGCGAGAAAAAAAGAGGGAAGTAATCGCCAATCGCGCGAAGCCGTAGCCTTAGATTAAAAACAGGTAGGCAATTAAGCGAGTACGGCACGAGAGATGAGGAAGAGACATGCCCGCTTTGTACATTTCATACTCTGTACCGCAGATTAACCGATCGACGACGTGGATTCGCGATCGCCGTTCGCTCTACACGTTTCAAAAAACGCCGACTTTCCGCTTATGTTACGCGCTTTTAAGTCACCTATCATTATCGACGAAATAATTACAAGTCGTAATTGTCAATTAGTGTGCCACAAACGATTATTATAACTTGCGAATTATTATTGTTACGGAGCTACAACAATTTATTATAATGCTATTACAATCTGTATGAATTATTATAATTGATTTTTTTATAACGGTTTAATAATAACTTAAAAAAAATATATATATATAGGACGTAATTTTTTAGCGTCAATTAATTTCGATATGAACACACGCAGAGAAATTTAAAATTACAATTGAAATAGTATGTGATTGAAAATTTGTGAGGATGTTGAAGGATGATACTAATTGAAGGCGAATTCAAAGTTCGATTAACTTAATCGGTGATTAACTTGTCAAGTGATACCATTCCGGTAATATGAATAGAATATGTTAAAAAAATTGGAAATTGAACGATTAATGTCCATTTCTACCAATGTAAATTACTCTCACTGTTAAATATTAAAGGATAAAATTTAAACCAATACTTTAGTTAGATAACATTTTGTTCTTTTTAATTACCATGTCGAATTTATTATTTAAATACAAAATAGTAGATATTATTTTTAAACTCACTGGACAGTGGAGTATGGCAATAATTAAAAATTATTTAAATATATTTTAACACTATAAATTTAATAGTGTTTAATCTAGATTTAACTGATTTGATTATCTTTTCTTCCCAATTCTTAGACCTAGAAAAAGATAAAAAGTAAATTAAATCGAGGTTAAAGTTAGTCTGCGTAGAAGTGGACGTAAAAGTCGCCGATTAAGTTAATCGAAAATTCGATCTCGATCGAATGAGACACGAGAGTCATACCCCCTCGGAAAAGTCGGCGTCCGCGAGCGGCGGAAACGTTCTTTCGAATCCGCGCCTCTTTTATTTCTTATCAAAACTAACTTGTAGAGTATCGCTGTATAATCTCACGTATCATTATAACAACGAAAGTATATGAGTAATAAAAGAGTTGAAAAAGTTGTCGTGTAATTAATCGCGCTGTTAACGCGCGGAATCATCATATATAGCACTTACCGCTTCGGAGTTCGAAAAGTTTTGTCCAATCGCAGTCGCAGCCGCCATGACGATGAAAAGGCCGGGCCGTCTACGGGAAGCACTAAGCAGGAAGCAGGAATCGTCGAAAGCTTCTCGGCAGACTCGGCTCGCCACTTCCTGAAAATCGAACGAAATACATATTGCAGATCACGAGAAATCTACTTCTCTCATGTTTGGCTCTATCTCTGGTTACCTTTCGTCACTTTTAAAACGCGCGTTTGCACTACGCGACGAGCATCCTCCTCCTTCCTCCTTCCTCACGCGCGAACGATCGGCACAGTAATGTCGGGAGAGAGAGAGACGGACGATTCAAATTGCACCCAGAGAAAATGGCGGGGCGTCGACGGGTGCGCCCTCATGAATCTAGAGACATCTTGAGAATTCCCTATTCGAGAGGCCAATGAGATCGCTCGTCGGGACGTGGCGTCTCGAAATGTCCCCAGTGTTCGGTTGCTATGTTTATAAATTTATTATTGGCAGCATTGGCACCGTTTTGGCAATTGTCAAACGTTACTGCGTGGCGGTAGTGTAGTGCGGGGGAACGGGGAACAGATGTGGACGTAGTGGACGACGTCGCGGGCGACGCGGGCACTCGAGATCAGCGTCGGATCATCGGATCGCGGATGCTGAGAACGGATACGGGATATAAACGTCGAGGAGCGTCCTTCGCGCGGGATCTCCGTCGCTCTTGTCGAAAGTGTACTCGAATGGTGTGTCCCGAGACGTATCCGACGCGTTTAATGCGAGACTCGACGTAAACACGGTTTACGCGCGTTTATCGCGGCCCAGCCCGCGCTTTCCCGCGGGCGCGAGTTTGCTTTCCGGACGCGCCAGGACGTAGAGGAACGCCGCGCGATGATGCACAGACGGGGAGGCAAGCGGATCCGCATGGACGATCCGGTGCCGCCGGAGTACGAGACCCCGATGACGCCGATGACTCCGATGAACGACAATTCCGCCGGGGACGCGAACGACTACAACGCGTACACCCCGTATAATCAGGCGTCTCAGACTCCGCTGCACAATCCCACGTAATGCGATTAACGTTATTATTGCGAGAATTGTTATTGAGCATAATTGTAATGTATCGCTATATTATGTTTACAGCCTGGAGCATTTTGTTAAATCTGGAATATAATTGTAACATTACTGTTATATTTACAGTCCGGAGCATTATTCCTCCGAGAGCCACAGTTCACCGGGCACGTCTCAACAGCAATACCAGGAACAGGCGGGAAACTTTGACAATCAGGCGCAATTCGAGGCTCCTGCAACGCCAGCAGCATCTAACATGAGAATCACAAGGAACACTCGTGCAAGGATGCGTGGTATGTATGAATTTTTTTGGTATCGATATCTATGGAAGACTTTGTAATGAGTAATATTGTAATTCTTGACTTTAAAGGAGGCGTAGTACAGCAACCCAAGTACAAAGAAGTCGATACAGACTACGTTCCATTGCCCAGCAACAGAGGTAGAGGAGGCGGTGGACGAGGACGTAACAAAAGAGCACATCATACGCACAGTTTGGAAGATGAAGCTAGTCTTTATTACGTTATTAGAAATAATCGGTCTTCGCTCACTGTAAGTTGATTTATTTAGTAATAAGTAATGCACGAGAGAAAATGATGTATGAAAATATTTTGCAAAATATTGTTTCGCAGACTATTGTTGACGACTGGATAGAAAAGTACAAAAGCAACAGGGAAAACGCGCTGCTCATGTTGATGCAGTTTTTCATCAATGCGAGCGGTTGCAAAGGTCGCATCACTTCCGAGATGCAACTGACCATGGAACATGTGGCAATTATTCGCAAGATGACTGAGGAATTCGATGAGGTATATTTCTCAGATTATAATAACATGATATATATGATATGAATAACTTGATTATAACATTGTTTACGTAATTCTGTTTTATAGGAAAGTGGCGAATATCCGTTAATAATGACAGGACAGCAGTGTAAAAAGTTCCGTGCAAACTTTTGTGAATTCGTTCAAATTCTCGTTCGACAATGTCAATATTCGATTATCTATGATCAGTTTCTAATGGATAACGTTATTTCTTTACTAACTGGACTGTCGGATTCACAAGTGAGGGCGTTTAGACATACTGCAACGCTTGCCGGTAAATTCCAATAAACTAGACGATTGTAATTACAAAAAAATTTTTCGCAAGCCGGTTATTGCAAACGAAACAATTTTATTTCTAGCTATGAAATTAATGACAGCTTTGGTAGACGTTGCATTGACTGTATCCATAAATTTGGACAATACGCAACGGCAGTATGAAGCCGAGAGACAAAAGGCTCGAGAGAAAAGGGCGGCAGACAGATTGGAGTCTTTGATGGCGAAGCGAAAGGAATTGGAAGAGAACATGGATGAGATAAAGAACATGCTTACATATATGTTCAAGTCTGTTTTTGTCCATAGGTATAGGGATACCTTGCCGGAAATACGCGCAATTTGTCTGGCAGAGATCGGAGTCTGGATGAAGAAATTCCACCAAAATTTCTTAGATGATTCCTATTTGAAATATATTGGTACAGAACATTTTTATTCGTGTATATTAAAATAGATATCCCCGTGTTTACTACATTTCATGGTTGATATGTATTTTGCAGGCTGGACTTTGCATGATAAAGTTGGAGAAGTTAGACTTAAATGCTTGCAGGCGTTACAACCATTGTACGCCTCAGAGGAATTAAAAACGAAGCTCGAGCTGTTCACAAGCAAGTTCAAGGACAGAATCGTCGCGATGACGTTGGACAAGGAATATGATGTAGCGGTGCAGGCTGTGAAACTTGTTATTTCGATCTTGAAGCATCACAGAGAGATCCTTAGTGATAAAGACTGCGAACACGTGTACGAACTTGTTTATTCCTCGCATCGTGCGGTCGCGCAGGCCGCCGGTGAATTTCTGAATGAACGTTTATTCCGTCTAGATGACGAAGCCCCAGTCGGTGTTAAGACCAGACGCGGCAAGAAACGATTGCCGAATACGCCACTTATACGCGATCTTGTTTTGTTCTTCATCGAATCCGAATTACACGAGCACGGAGCGTATCTCGTTGATTCTCTAATTGAAACTAATCAAATGATGAAGGATTGGGAGTGCATGACGGATCTCTTATTAGAGGAAGCTGGTCCCGACGAGGAAGCGTTGGACAATCAGAAAGAAACGTCTCTCATTGAATTGATGGTGTGTTGCATAAAACAAGCTGCTACGGGCGAAGCACCGGTCGGTCGTGGACCCACTCGAAAAATTCTGTCGGTGAAAGAACTTAAACAAGTTCACGATGATAAGCAAAAATTGACGGAACATTTTATTCAAACGTTACCACTGTTACTCGATAAGTATAGGGCAGATCCTGAAAAATTGGCGAATTTACTCGCAATCCCGCAATATTTTGATTTGGATATTTACACAAAATCTAGACAAGAAATGAATTTAGATTCTCTTTTAAATAAAATCCACGCGATCGTAGAAAAAATGCACGATACCGAAGTTTTGGATACGGCGGCTAAAACCTTAGAACATATGTGTGTGGAAGGTCATGCTATTTTTACCAGGTATATAGATTGTTTTTTTTTTTTTTCCAAATTGTGTATGTTATATATCTGTTTAAAGCATTTAGTGTTCAAATGCTTCTTTTATAGATGTGATGTCGCTCGTTCAACTTTAATCGATTTCATTGTAAATAAATACAAAGAAGCGATTGATGAATATAGGAATTTGATTGAGGGAGACGAGGAACCGGACGAAGATGAGATATTTAACGTTGTCCAATCACTTAAAAAAGTTTCCATCTTTTATGCCTGTCACAATATGAATCCATGGGGCATATGGGATTCGTTGTACAAGGATATTGAGGATGCAAAGGATCCTTCAAAGTACTTTTCCTTATAATTCCTTACAATTTACACAAAATATTTCTTGTACATGTAAATAATATTTAAATTATCTGTATGTAGATCCTTACCGGACAAAGCAGTTAAGTACTGCATAAGCGCATGCTTCTTCGCCATTTTGTGGGGCGAAAATCATTTGATGGAAGCTGTGGACTCGGCCAGTCGTGGCGAGGACGAATGCCGGCAGTTGAAGGAACGACTGCATTCATTTATGGGTTCAATGCGCCATTTCGTCAGCGGCGATAGTAGCGGCACGGTAATTACACAAATTCGAAAATCCTTAAATTTACATTGTAAACCGTTTTATAAATGATATTTATCTGATATTAAACAGCCATCGCCGCCGATCTTGAGGGAAGTTGCGTACAACACAATATGCGATTTGTTGGTTGTATTCTGCAATCAACTGACTACGCATACTAATCCCTTGTTGCATCAGTTAGTGTACGAGCCGGACCAAGCAATGCAAAACATGCTCAATAGATTTATACAAGAGTATGTTTTCTTCGAAGAAGAGGATGGTAAGAGTAATTTATTATTTTTATTTAGATTTTCCTCGAAGAAATGTAGTATCATGATTTATTTAGTTATATATACCGTGAGATTTGTGTTTTGGTTCTTATTTCTATCACGGTTGAATAACATCTTTTGTATACAAAATTTTTTATATGTGAGGTGACAAGACCGGGAATTGAACTCGGATCTTTTATTTTGAGAGATGAGTGCTTTACCATTAGGCTACTCGGCACTTTAAATGAGTCGAGCTAATATATGAATAGATTAAACAGCTTATTAAAATATATATAATATGAATTTATTTCGTAGAAGGGCATGATGAACACTCTAAAATCGAAGAGCTGCATAAACGAAGAAATTTCTTAGCTGGCTATTGCAAGTTAATTGTATACAATATGATCCCCACGAAAGCTGCAGCGGATGTGTTCAAGCATTACGTCAAATATTACAACGATTACGGCGATATTATTAAGACCACGTTAGGGAAAGCAAGAGATATCAATAAAACGAATTGTGCGCTAACGATGCAACAAAGCTTAAATATTTTGTACAACGAGATAATGACCGATAAGGGCAAGGTGAACAGAAACAGCGAAGAATTCACCGCGATAAAGGTATCTAGTTATCAATATACTGTTTTGTAGTGTAATGAAGTAATGTGCTAAAATCTAATTATGTCTAGGAACTTGCGAAACGATTTGCTTTATCCTTTGGTTTGGACGCCGTGAAAAATCGCGAAGCAATAACGGCCTTACACCGTGCAGGAGTGTTATTCGTCATCACTCCTCCAGATGGTGTCGAACAGGATCCCACAGGCCCCCCACCGAATTTACCGTTCCTTGAGATATTGTCCGAATTCACAAATAAGCTTCTCAAACAGGATAAACGTGTAGTGTAAGTATACCGTGTATTAAATTTAATTTTTCCCAGTATTTTCCTTCAAGTTTATGCGCTCTTTAATATGTTGTATTTTATTGCAGACTCAACTTTCTGGATAGACGGTTACAAGCTGGAATGCCGTCTTCACGAGGGGAAGATTGGCAGCCTTTACTATTGTACAGAAATAGTTTATTACATGGTGAAACTGATCAAGTGCCAGTTACAAGTAAACGAGCTTATACAAGACGCAAGAAAGATCAATTAGCAGGTAAAAGATTTTAATTCACTATAATTGTCTTAAAAAACGCATTTGACGTGTATATTTGTACGGCGGGACGCAACTCCGTTTTCCAAAATTAATTAAATTGGACAGGAAATTGACAAATGTATCATAATTTTGAATACTGCATAAGTTCATATTTTCTTGCTGTTTCCATATGAGATTAAAATTATTTAATGTATGCTGTAGAGTGTGTAGAGTCAGATTTGGACTCGAATTTGGACTGAAACATTCACAAATGTCGATAACTGTAAAAATAATTGCGTTCATAATTTTAATTAGAGAAATATTGAAAGTCAGATATTAGTTTTAAGTTGCCCTTCATTGTCTAAACAATAATATTTCCCTTTGCAGAGGAAGAGGATGCTGATGAACCTGATGAAGGTTCTGATCACGAACTTGCTGGGTGAGTTGGATGTACCCGAATATAGAGAATCTAATATAATATTCTTTTTTGTTAAATTTGTTAGTATGGTCTTAATTATAATTGCAAGTAACTGTTACATGTAATTATTCGATAATACAAAGAAAAATCGGCAATGGCTGATTCAATAGTCCTCGATTATCGTTGTAATGAAATGCAATAAAAACTAAATGCTTGCCTTTACTAGCTTTTGCAATGCGAACCATACTATAGACAATATAAATCATTTGTAAAATTGAAAGCGCGGATACATTCTATGCACATACTAATGTGATTCTTTCATTACCGCTACAAGACATTAATGTTGCTTGCAAAATGTAGATCTGTAGAAAATGGTAGTTTCATTACTAATATTTTTATTTTATTGCCATTTTTTTATTAATGCTTTATTAATACTATATATGTATGGTATATTCATGAAACTTTTGTATATTATAATTCATTGCTATGATAAAATTATGATAAAGATGAACTATAATCTAAGACGGCAAGTCGACGTGTATCGTTAAACTCAATCAATTATTATTTTAACACATTAAAATACGTAATAATTATCATAATTTTACATATTTGAAATATTAAAGTTGGAACACTGTTGAGTGTGTGTGTGTCTGAGAGAGACAGAGGCAGAGAGAAGGAGTACGATTGAGTCGTAAATTGTATATTGTTCATAAAAAAATATTTGCGATTTCACTTCTTGCAGAATGAACTGCATGCTTGTGCTTAATATATAAAGATCTGTCATATTTATATATCTACTTTAGATCATTATGTTTCAGACAAAAAAATATTTTTTTTGTATACATATATATATATATATATATATATATATATATATATATATATATGTTTGCATGAGTAGTGATCCTAACCGCTTGTTACAGGCGACCTGATCGTTACAAAAGTTAAAAAATATTTTTTTAGATGAATATGAAATATGTATTAATATTTAAAAGTATATGTAAGGGACAAAAATTGTATAAGATCCTCGATGTAATCTATTATACTTCGTGCCTATTTTAACAACAAATAATTTCTGAACTAGAATAAGAGATTATTAAGGAACATATAATATTGTCATATTTTTGAGGTAATTGAAAAAATAGCGCATAGAGAACGATGTGTATTTTATCGAGATTAAAATCAAGTAAGCTTAAAAAAACTTTGTATTATATTTATATATTAATAATACAAATTGGTGTGATAGACATATGAATAAATATTGCTTCAAATAAGACCTTCTACTCCCAGCGCTCCTAAATCCTACTTTATCAAAATTAAAAATCAAAGAGCCATTAAAAACCGCGAAAAACATATTGTTTCAATTACTAACATATAGTAAAATAAAAGAATTGATTGTTTGTGCTTCATATTTCCTGAAATTAATGATGCCTACGTTCCTTTTCATGACACGCCGTTCTCTATACCCATCACTTCACAAATATGTTATCATTATTCATCTACATCATCTTGATATTATTACTTAGATTTTAACGTTTCGCATATTAAAAAGTAATATTAAAAAGAAACTCTCTAAATGGATATGTATGTATGGACTATAAACTTGAGTATACAAAAAGATCATATATATGTGACAACTTTTCATAATTATGACATTTTTGTCCCTTTATTTTGAAATATGAGTAGTCAGAATAATTGCACTTCCACCTGAAAATGGACGTTTTCATTTCAGCAAACAGAAGAAAAAGCGTGGTCCACGGAAGAATCAGTGAGTAATTTACTTTCTCATATTTTTATTGAACTAAATACGAGCGGAAAACATAATAGCAATAACGCATCAGTTGAAATACAGATTATTTTTAAACTGTAAAATAAATTTATTTGCTGAACGTCGATATAATCATTTTATTTTTCAGATTACCAGTTAATAAAGTAGTGATAACACGTGGACCCAGAACAAATGCTTTCTACGAAAATAATGATACCGCACAAACGCAAGCATCTCCTTCAGCAATTATAGAGGACACCTCAACGAGTCCTTCGCAAGACATTGATAACAGACTCAAAACTTTACAAATACAGTCAAAATCGTAAGTATGTTCTGTCATGTATTCTTTATTTTAAGATTGTGCAATAAACAGAACGTAATTTTGCGATAGACGACGAAGTCAAGAGCGTGTAGAGCATAGGGAATTGCGGAGAACCTCTAGAAACTCAGGGAGATACGTCGAGGGGCAATATATGGTAAGTTCGAACAAATATTACAATGTCAATAAGCATAATGCCATAAATTACATTATTATGCAACGATTCAAATTAATTGCAGGAATCTGATTCCGAGTAAGAGACATCGTAATTCTTAAATGCTTCGCTCTCTTGTATTCTTAAATTCAGATAATTGGATTGTGATATGTATTCGAAGCAGCTATACATTTTGAGAATTACAAAAGCATACTTAACTGATAATAGAGCTTTTAGAGCAAGTATCGATATGTTTTGATAGATGAATATTCTGTTACAAAGCGATTACACGTAAGAGAAAAATTTTAATTTTTTTGCGGAATCGAATTTATTTCATTATATGTCATGTTACAAATAACACAATATATATATACATAGATTCCATATAAAAATGAGTACTATAAAAGAATTATCTTTCTCTCTTTGTCTGTCTATCTATCTAGAAATTATTAACTATCTAGAAGTTATTAACTATTTAATAACTTCTTTAAATAAACAGATACAATTCATTATGATAGTATTCATATATTTTATTTGTGAATGCAATTAGACACATGATAAACTGGATATAATTTTACAACTATATCGCTTTTCCTGTACATTTGTGATAATGCTCTGTATACTTGACTGTTTCATATAAAGGACCCCACATGATTTATGTGAAAAAAACCTTTTCATTTCTTTTTAAATATGTTGTAGTACTTGTAACCCTGATAAAAAGTGTCAAATTTTATCAACTTCCTATTCAAAAAAATTGACCAAAACTTTTATATATATATATAAATCGTGTGGGGTCCTATATAAAATGTTAATTATTTATATATCACATTTTATTTACACATTATTACACATTATTGCAAAGTTATTAACAATTCTCAATCTTCTTCCAAGAATGATGTTTGATATGATAAAAATAAAAATAGTTATAGAGTAAAATTACATTAAATTCTTATTTCTATATGACATCTGCAATGCTTATATAGTATAATCCATAGTTTAGTTGTAGAGCTCCTAGTTCGTTGTTGCGCTAATATATTGTTACTTTTTTATATATAGTTGTATGACCGTAGTATTTATTCATCGATCCGATTGTAAACGAGATTTGCGAAAAAGATTACTGAGTCTGCGTTTTGGCGTGCTAGTTGTGTTCTATTAAAAAAATATGTTTAACATATTTTAATGTCACTTAATATAAAGTTATTTATATATTATTCGTACTCACTTCGTCTTGCCGTTTTAGCGTGAATATGTTCTTCAGCGAATGAGGAGTAGTCGTTGTTTTTCTATCCACATTTCGCTCCCTCAATACACGTGAACTTGGGCTTCTCAATTCATTGCCCTAACACAAATTATTAAAAGGAATTTTTAGTAACATTTTTGTAATGCGGTTTTATAGCGCAATAAAAGCTTTAGACAAATTTTTTTCTGTTTGAGCAAATTCTATAATATATAGATTTTTTTGCAGCTATATGCATAATATGCAAGATAATAACATATACGAGGATATGCAAATACCTGCAATGATAATCTTCCCCCGTTTTTGCTTGGTGTTGGAGGACCAGGCTTTTTATATGATATCTAATAATGTGAATGTAGGAATCACAAACATCACAAACATCAAGTAAGGGACGATTATATAAAAGAGACAACAACATAAGAATATAACAACTTACCTGAGATCTATCTTTTTTCCTGACTTTCTGTTCTGGGAGAAGACTTTGGCTAAGACTATCATTAAAGTTATCTTCCGCTGAGGAGCCCGTCTATAAAAGAATACATAAATCTTTATAATGCGCATTAAACGCACGAGACATATGAGTAACAGTACACGAAATTAACAAAGTATTTATACGCGATAAAAATTCAAGAGAGACATAATTTACATTAAGAAGAATTACCTTAATTTCTTCTTCAGTCAAAGTTGGAGGAAGGAATTGCATTTCTGCTGGATAAGACGATTTCAAATGGGGCTTGCAAAGAGAGTTTCTCATTTGTAACACAGACAAACGGTTGACATCTGTGACAGGTACAAAATTTCCTCGTTTCATATCGGCTGGAATAAAGAAGATCTATTAATAAGTAAGAAGAGAGAGGACATCGATTGAAAAGCAAAATTTAATTCTTGCTCAACGTTAGTATTCATGATTAGTATGCGAAATATATACCTAGATAAACATTATCAAAAATTTCTTCTTCGTCCTCCGTATTAAATACATTGTCCATTGCTTGTATGCTTCTAATACTGTGCCTCCTTTCGAATGTTTCTTCAGTTATAAGCGTTGTTACTTTATGTGCTTGTTGTATGTTTTCAGGTAACATTTCTTGCTTTTCCGTTCTGTAATAGATTAATTAATTAATTGTTAAATTGATATAATATATTTTCTTTATATTATATTCCAAGAACAAAATACACAGTTGTACGTACTTGCAAGTCTTGCGCGAAATTGTAGCTATTGGTTGGGCCGCTTGGAATTCTTTGATTCTGGTTTCTAATTCTCTTAAACGCTTTAACGCATCTTGCTTCTGTTGTTGCTCGACTAGAAGGTTTTCTCCCACGTTCCAAAGTTGCGAACTTAATCGGCTAACGTGTTCTCTGTATTTATCAAGTTCTTCACTCTGCTTTCGGCACATTTTTTCTGTTTGTTTCTGCAACTTTTCTTCTAAAATCTTTTCTTGATCTTTGTTTAACTTCGTCATTTCCTCATTATAGGCTGTTTTCTGAAATAAATTTAACATTAAATTAACGTAAAGCAACATTACTGTTTACACGAAACATGAATCTCAAAATTCTAAAGTATAAATATTTTTCTACTTACCATTTTTTGTTTCATATCTTCCAGTTTTTGTTCATATGCAGCATGAACCTCTTTGAACTGATTTTCAAGTTGTTGCTTTGCCATCTTGCTCGACTCATCCTTTTCTTCACGTAGCTGTTGATTCTGTTCTTTCAAACGTTCAAACTCTTCTTTCAGAGATTGTATTTCCGCTCTTTCAGACACTGTCAAATTAATTTCCGTTGGCATTGTCTCCGTGGACTTTAGGTTCTTTATCTCTGTTCTAAGATCGTCGATATTTTTCTCTAATTTCACATTCCTCAAACGCATAGTATCCATTCTATTTTTGAGATCTTTCTTTTCCTTTGTCAGTTGATTAATTTGATTTTGCAATTTCTTCTCTATCTCTACTTGATTCTTGATTTCACCAGATTTTAAACTGTTATCGTAAAAGGTGGCCAAAGCAGTGAAAGATTCTATTTCCTCTTCAGACTTCTTTACGTCGATTTGCAGCGCTTTGTATTTCTCCAATCCTATATCAATTATCATTTTCTCGTTAGAAAATTGATCTTCTTCCACACTTGTCAGTATGTCCAAACACTCTTTCTCATGTATTGAACATAAATAGGTATCGTGTAATTTTTGTTCCGTCCATAAGAACTTGTCCCATAAAATATCACATATAGATTTGATGTTCTGTGAATAATCAGCTTGACACTTCAATAATATATTTTCGAGACTTGTCTTCTTAATTTGCAACTGTTTAAATTCGTCGCAAACGGAACTCTCAGTATGAAAAATATCCTGAAACTTCGTCGATACTTCATTCCACTTTTGCTTGAACGATGTTAAAGTAGTATCTAAGTCGGTCCGCATAGCGAAAACTTTCTGCAAGGGGTCCTTTAAAGATTCCTTATTTTTTATGAGGCTCTTAAGATAGTCATTCCGTTTCTGTGCTATTATTTCCAATTCTCGTATCTTATTCTTTAGATCGCAGACTTCTTCTTTGTCTTTTACACCGTTATCTATAAGTACTTTTTGTTTTACCAAAGTTTCATTCAATTCAGCATTTGCATAAGCTAAACGCGAGATAATTTTCTGAGATTTGTGTAATTCATCAAGAGTCATCTTAATAATATTCAAAATATTTGCGTTATTGTCTACATTAATGCACTTGTACTTATTCTCTATATTAATGCACTGCGGTACATCATGTAAATCAAACTCTGAGCAGGTTTCCGTAATCGTAGAATTCAAATTTTTCGTTGGATGTTCCAATTCTTGGCACAATTTTACAATTTCCGCTTGATTCGCATCCACATTCTTGCAGTATTCCTTACTCGTTTCCAGCTCCGCACTCATTGTTTTGAGCACATCTTGCAATTCTACTACAGTCCTGTTTTGATTATTAAGTTGATTTTGTAGGTCGAAGAATTTAATTTGACATTCGCGCAACGACGATTTTGTATCTTCAAGTTCTTTATTCAGGATCTCCTTAGAGTTATCAAACCGTTCTTGAAGTTTTTCTATGTACAGACACTTTTCCTTCAAAGCTGCTTCTTGCGTTGTCAAGACGGCATCTTGGCTAGATCTTACTTCTTGAAGATTAATAATTATCTCTCTCATCTTCTTCTCCGTAGTGTTTGCTTCGCTCGTCAGCCTATTCATTTTAGTTTGTAACGTCAGTAATGCCTCTTCTTTCACTTCTATTTCTTTATCTTTTGCTTCAAGTGCTTCTTTATGAGAACGCATCAAATCGTCCTTCTCTGTTTTTAAGGCTGAAACGTCCGAAAGTAACTCGTTAATTTGTGCTTCTTTTAATTCCATCTGCGTCATTGTATCACTCATTTCTTGATGTAATAAATTGAGCTTATCAGTGGTATCTTTCAACTCGAGTAATATTTTAGCATTATCTGACTTGAGACTTTCCAGCTTATCATTTGTTTCAGTTTTCATCGTTGCGTGCAGCTCTTCCAACGCTCGATTTATATCTTTTAATTCTTGCACATTGCGTTTGGATTCATTTAATTCGTCAAAGAGAATTCTTTCCTTCGCTTCCAAATCACCTATCTTTTCTTCGTTTTCTAATAAATTTTGTTGTAATGTAGTATTTATCGCTTGAATTTTTGATAATTCTTCCTTATTACAATTGAAATTATGCTCTAAATTCTCTTTTTCTTGCTGTACTTTGTGATAATTGTGATATAACGTACGATATTCATATTGCAACTTTTCAAATGTTAGTTCAATATTTTCTTGATATTCACCAAAGTTTTGCCGAGTTTCCTCTTTCATTAATTTCAGATCTTTATTTATGTTCTGTAGATCTTTTAACTGTGTCATAACAGATTTCAGTAGTGATTCTCGATCTGTTAATTGGTTTGTTAATTCATGTACATTTTGTTCCAAAACGAGTTTCTCATCTCTATTAATCTCTTTTAAGACTTCGATTTCCTGCGAATATGCATGCATAATTTCCTTTTGCTCATTTAATAATAAATCCTTTTGTTTCTTCTCTTCCTCGTTAACAG